AGCTACATGATAGGTTATGGTACAGGATGCAGAACTGCGTGAGGTGCTGCTGAGACCATGGGGATGTTCAGAGATGCTTAGTGTGTCCTAGCCTGAGCGTCCTGACCAAATTTCCTTGTTTCATTGCTGCTTTCACATGAGAACATAGAAATGAGATCATTCATCTAGGTTTAAGAAGAAATGGGGCAAACTGGTGGCAAGTGCTGCAGAGGTGCCTCTGGCCACCAGGTGTCACAACAGACCTGCAGGCCAGGGCACAGCAGGACTGGGTGCTGTCAGGGAAGGGCTCCTGCACTCTTACATCCCACAAAATCCGGTTATCAGCACCTGTGACCAGCTGTGGTTTCCCACACCTGTGCATGGCAGTGTCTGCTGGGGGAGCTGCTTCCCTACAGGACATGGAAATTGTCTGCTTCCCTCCTGCTCTGTAGCCTCCCGATGAGTGTGGTAGGGCATGCTGGTCAGTCACTTTCCCAGGCCCTTCAAGCCTTGGTTTTCCCCTCAAAGCCTGTGTTATAACTAATCTGTTACAGTTCTTGCAGAGATGTGCAGCGAGGACCAAGCTCTTCTCCCACGTAGCGGGGGTTAGAGCAGCAGCAGGCATGGGAGCGCCAGGCTCTATTCCCCTCTGCTGTGGGGAGGGAGCTGGAGGTCTCCAGTGCAGCAGGCTAGTCCTCACCGCAGGGCAGCAGAAGGACTGCAGATAGCAGATGTTGGAGCTCCTCAAGCAAATGACACACTAGTAGGTTAGTGTGTGATGGAGGTGATGAAAGCTTTACAACTTCAAGACCATACAAAATGTTCTTTCACCTTCCCAGCCCTGAGCAGGATAGCAGCCTACCAGCCCTGAGCAGGATAGCAGCCTACCACCCGTGAGCGACCAGATGTCAGTTTGTTTTTATACCCTCTCCCACAGCTGTGTGGTCACTCCCTGTGGTCTGTTGGGCCATCATCACTGCAGAGGCACTGAGCCACTATTGCTGGAGTGGGGTTGATGCTGTAAGCTAGGATTTATCCTGTGTCTAACATCATGCCTTTTCCTCCCTGTTGAAGAAACCTGTCATCCAGAAAATGCTTCCAGTCCTAAATGAAGTCCGTCCCTTTACGTTATTCCTTTGAAACTGTTGTGTTCCTGGAGCTGCTGAGAGGAATTGTACAGGAAGGACTGGAGGATCAGGAGAGAGTATATGCTGAGGTCTCTTTTATCACAGTGAGGAAGAGTCTAGGGTGAGCAGGGATATTGTTTCTGGCAGCTCTTGCCTGCAGCAGAGCCTTCCACGCTCATTTTGATGGGTGTGAAGTCCTGTCTGCTGCAGGAAGGTGGGTGTTTTTTTTTTTTTTTTTTTTTTTTTGAGCGTGAGTTATCTCAGAATTGGGTTCTGCAACTTTGTGGCTCATTTCGATGTCCAGCGTGGACAGGAGCAGGGCCTCTGCATGATATCTTTCCACGCTGGAAGCTGAGTCGTTTCCTAGACAGTTTGTTTTCAATGGGCATAAGTGAGCTGGTGAAAGGGTGTTGATCCTCTGGCTTGGCTTCGGTCAGGAGTGTTGGTGAAAGAGCTTTTCTCTTCAGTGCCAAGTTGGGGAGACCAGAAAGCAGCTGGGCAAGATGGGATTTGAAATGGGCTTGTTGCCCTTCTGGCAACTGACGTTTGGGGGAATCCATCTTGCTTTTTTCCAACCTTGTCCCTTTGTTTCTGAGGGAAATTGTGTTGTTTATTTACTGAACAGAACTAGAAATAGCAAGAAAAAATGGACTCCTCTCTGATTTTTCTACTGCATGGTATGCAGTGCTTTTAGCATAGATCTCATCAAAGCCATAGATGTGCTTTATTGACTGGGCAGAGGGTAGCTAGCTGGCTAAGATGGGTTGATAGCACCGACAGGTTGGTGAGTCACTCAGGGTGTTGTCCAGGCTGAGGAGAGGCACTGATTGCAGCGGGAGTTCACCACAGCAGCGTCTCCAGAGTGGGGCGGCCAAGGCATCGAGCTGATGCAGCTAGGCAGCAATGGATGTGGGCCTTTCCCCAGAAGCGCTGTGGCATCTTCGTCCTTTGAGATGCTCCAAACTTTTCTACTCAATGGCCTTGAGCAACTTGATCTGACTTCCAATTTCACCCTGCTAACCTTAGCTCTGGGTCCCCTCTAACCTTAAATATTTTATGACTCTGTGATGTTATTACTCCAGCTTCTCCATATTTATCCTTCCACGTCCTTCCTCCCAGTCAGGTCTTTTAGCCCCCTACCTTCTCCCACTGTTGGGTTTATTTCCTGCTATTGAGAAAACACTGCTCCCCAAGCTTCTTAGAGTGAGTACTAGGGCTTGGGGGGATGGCCCTAGCTGGTGATGGGGATGGCTTTTTATTTTAAGAAGCACTGGTAGTCACAGGAGCCTGGGCCGAGCAGGAAGGCTGCATCTGGGAGGTCATCCAGGACATTCTGGGTTTTACCCCTCACAAGCATATTGAGAAGAACTTTGTTTTATCATATAGTTTGGGCCACTCTGTGTTACGACAATAGATGTGTCGGAGAAGGCAACAGCAGCTGCCAATGGGGGCACAGAGATGTGTGAAAGCCCTTCCGGTTGCAGCCAGTCACTGCAGTGAGGTCTCAGCTGCAATCAGTTAGTATGTGGTCAGAGGGTACCTGGGCAAATGTGGCTGCTGCTGAGCAAGTACTCTTAAATAGCTTGCAGATGACACTGTTAGTTTCCTGTGCAAAGGTGAACTGGGGACAGGGAGCTGGTAACCTGCTTGGTTTTCTTCCATGCAGTCCTGTGTCTCGTATGTGGTATTTTAAAGCCAACTGCAAGTGAATTTCTGCTGTGACAGCACAGCACATTGTGGAAAAGGTCAGCCTGGCTCAGCTCCAGCCAGTCTCAGGCGACAGGAGTGTAGGTGTTATTTCGGTACTGGGTCACGTTCCTCCTCTGATTTCTAAAGTTGTCGGTAGTGGCTGTTTCCTATCGTGCTTGACGTTACGCAAGTTGAGTGTGACTCTGCCCTGCCTGGGAATTTTGTTGTGCCGTTGGCCAGGATAGGAGAGCCCTTGCGGGCAGCACAGGGAGCGGTAAGCTAGGAACCAAAGGCTGCACTGCCCTGCTCCGTTGCCGAGTCTCAAGTAGGTACAAGATCAATTTGCAAGTGAGTGACACCCTGAGAAAGGTGCTCATGCCTGTGTGCTAAGATGAGGCAGAGCTGCAAAGAAGAGGTGTCCATGTGCCGGCAGAGCTGCCAGCTCTGCAGGAGGACGGGGAGGGAGAAAGTTGGCACCACTGGGATATGTATGGCTGTGAGTGGAGCTGGAGAAGGGACTAATGCTGTTACGGCTCAGCGTAACTGCTCACTATACCTCTCCTGATTTTGACTTGCTGAATTGTTATAGAATAGCTTCAGGTTATTAATATGCACATGTAGATTACTTGTTCTTGTTATTCCACTAGTACCTTGGAGTATTAAAAGTTATAAATAGGTTGACAGGATCTGAACGTCCCTACCTCATGTAGGATCTAAAATAAAGTGAACTAACTATTCTTGGCGTTTCTAATCTTTTTTTTGTCTGGTGTGGCTAGGAATTCTGCATGCTCCTGTCATGATAAACAGCGCCAGAGACTGATGGTGCAAGAGGCAATTGAAGGTGAAGCAGCAGAAGTTGGCCCCATGTTACCTTTTGCACACAAACTGGTGTCTCAGCGAGGTGGCTTGGGATATTAACTGGCACAGCCCTTTGTAGCATACTATAACCAGCTTTATGGGGCGATGTGAGTTAGTCTGGGAGGGAGGGTGTGGGACAGGATGGTTGTTGCTCCCCCCTCCTGCCTGGGGGAGGGGGCTGCTGGGCACTTTGCTCCTGGCCCTGGCAAGACTGCAGACACTGGAAGAGATCCCTCGCACCCTTTGAAGCACTGCACTCCAGGGCTCTTTCCCTTGCTTTGCTTCTTCCAAAGATCAAACGTATCTCTGTTACTGCTGAGCTACAAGGTATTTTGGGATCCCCCCTGCTAAAGGGTTTCTTCTTTCCAACTGCTGTTTATTTTTAAGGAAATTGATTGATTTGCATCTGATGAGCAGAAAACATAATACTTGGAAAGGCTTGTGCCTGTGGCAGGGTCACTTGTTCTTACAGGCTTGAAGCCGCAGCTCTGGCTCCATGATTAGTGCCTCAGGCTCGGTTTGTGAGGGTTGAGTTCCTGCCATGAGGATCTGATCTTTCACTACCTCCAGGAGATCAGCTGTACCCACTAACCAGGGACCCAGGAGTCCTGCTCAGAGCCATCCTTGGGGGGGTGGGGGGGGGGAGAGAGCTTTGTGTATGGAGCCTGAGGCATGCCACCCGCTCACCTCCCTTGGCCTGCGGTAGTGGAGGGGAGAAAGATGTTCTTCTGCTAAGCTCTGGCCTCCACGGGGTGGGCTCGGGGCTGATGGTGGGCCATGCACCCATAGCCCACAGGGTGGCCTTGTCTGCAACAGGGCCTCAGGCAGCTGTTGTTCCTGCTGTAGCGATCCCATACTTAACCGTAGACCCCCCCTCCGCCCAGGACAGGGGCACCCCAGTAAGGCAGAGCTGGGCAGGACCTGTGCCCATCATTCCCCTGCAGCACCACCAGCCCATGCAAGCAGGGAGAATTATCCAGCCATCCCGCTCAGTGGGAGAGACTCGCTGCGCTCAGGAAGATCCCTTTCAATAACTCTGCAGGGGTGACGGCCCAGCTCCCCAGGGCCCTGTCAGCTCATTCTTTGCACTGTACCTTTTCAGGTAGGGATGGGCCTGGACTATGACCTGTTGCCAGAGCAGGCAGGTGCCAGAGGGGACCTTTGAGCTCTGCCAGGCTGGTTGTTTGCTGCTCCTGCTCCCTACGTGCAGCTCTCTGTGCTGGACCCAGAGAAACTCAGGTATTGCAGGGTGGAGCTGCAATACCACCGCCGCCTCGCAACGGTATGTGACAGGCAGCTGTGACATGACGCACCACCAGCGTTACAGGGTGCTCGGGCGCTGCTGGGCATTGCAACACCACTCCTGCTGCTGGGACGCCATGGCCTCTTGGGTTAAAGCTGCCCCTGGGCAGGGAGGCAGGTCATCCTCCCTGACCCGGATGCGTGCTCCAAGCCTC